TCGTTTGAAAGCTCCCTTGCTAGTCTTGTAGTGCTTCATCTTTGCTCTCACACATGACTTGCAGTATGGATTCTTATATCGGTGCGTCATCAGGTGCAATATGGATCTCGCCTCATTCTTCAGCACTCCGGGCTTTGACAGTCTAGCTTCTCCATCGACCACATCGACTTCCAATAACCCCTCTTCGTCTTCACCAATGTCACTCTCCTCTCGTTCAGAATCCGCATCACCTCCATGTTCGTCGTCTTCGGCTTCTTCAGGTTGACCATTGTGATCACTATCGAATCTCGGGTCTTCCCCGTCATGTTCCTCTTCAGGAGAATACCTATCATCACCGTGTTCCTCTGGTTCTCCTTCGACGCCTGCGACAGCTGGATTGATATCAGATTCACTATCTCGATCTCTCTGGTTATCTTTCTTCTTTCTCCTCCGTCTCCGTAGTTTCTTGGGCGGAGGATCCTCATGTTGTGCCTCGTGATCTGCTGTGGCCTCGTCTTCATGCCCCACACCTGACAGTATGCGATGAAGTATCGTAGCCAAGCCATCCGATCTTGGTAAGCATCTCCCGTCGTCATCATTCACCTTGATATAGGGTATGTTGTCATGCACCGATAACGGAATCTTGTTCGCGTTCCGGTCGATGAGGTATGGCAACTGATTTGCCGGCCATATGAATGAGTACCCTTGTTCCATGCACCGCTTCCCGATGGAAAAGACTGAGGGTGTGCTCTCCAACACGTGTGCCTCGGACATCATGGGTAGCTCGTCCACATTGATGTCCACCATCTCTGATGTACTAGTTACACCATTCGCTGTCATGAAGCTCACGGATTTGGGTCCTTCCTTGGTGGTAAGGCCCATGGCATTGACTTTCTCTCTTGATATCAAGTCGTGTCCACATCCCGTGTCCATGATGAAGCGTATCGGTGGTCCATCATACCTCTCCACAGCCATGAACATCGCGTCTCCCGGTATCGTGTAGTTGGCAGAACCCTTCTTTACTACCTCGCTGGTGCTGAAGTCAGACAGGTTGACGTTCACCTCGATCCCTTCATCTTGAGTGATTTGTATCCATGCCTTGGCAATGTGTTCAGCTGAGTATGACTCCATCATCTTACCTTTGGCATGTGCTACTCGTGCAGCTATATTGTTCACTCTGAGGGCTCTCAACGATGTAATGAGCTCGGTATCTACCTTCTGTACCTCACTCTTCTTCTTCCTGAGGGGACGGGTATTTAGCTCGTTACCAGGATCGCAGGGAAACGTGGTCACATTCGCCTGGTCATCGAATCTGACTTTGAAGCGAAGCGCCAACCCATCTCGTCGTATATTGGGAAGTGCTGGTTGTATGTCCTCGTCATCACTCTCGATGTCCCCGCAAAGCATGAAGGCTGGTGCAGCTGGTTTGGGCTTGGCTTTGCCTTTAGCCTCTTGCTTTGCCGCAGGAGCAGCTTGGTGTTGACGTCGACATTTGTCCCCGAACTTGCACGATCCTTTCTGCCAATTCCAACAGACCTGATCCTTCATTGGCTTAGGGCTAGTGCTCCTACCACCAGGACTCTTTGATCTGTCACCCTTGAGGTTGTCTGGTTTCTTAGCAGAACTTTTGTGCTTCTCCTGGTGACTAAACTTGCATTTGTCTCCTCTAGAACATCCGTTCTTTCCATGGAAGTGGAAAGCGCATCCTATCTTAGACGTGTCTGCCGGAGTCGCTGATCTGCCACGGTCCCCTTTCGGGCTCTTCGTGGTTGACCTTCCACGATCCTGCTTCTTGTCCTTCTTTTGGTGATCCTTCGGATTATTCTGAGGAAGTACTGGAGCGGCGTCCTTCGGTGGATCGGCCTTAGTATTCTTGGGCTTCGCTTTAGGGTCCTTCTTCTCCGCTGGTGTAGCCTTCATGAGGTTCCCAAAAGCTTTTTCCCTTTCTTTCTTATTTGTGGTCTCGATTGATTTCCGTATCCACTTCGCCATAATCTCCCGTAACTTCTGATAGGTCTTGTCCGGATCCTTATCCAACATGTTGTCGTACACAGACAAGTCTAACGCCATAACTTTGGAATCTTTAATCTTGTCCCAAAGCAGGTTGCGGAGTGCTTTGTCAGGAAGCATGTCATCCGCATCCATACCCGATATGATCTCATCCCACTGTCCAAGGAATCTGGATAGTTGATTATCTCCAGGGAACTTCAGATCGAATAAGTGCTTTGATGCATACATCACATCGACGTTGTCGGCACTTCGGAAGCTATCGACGATCAACGCTAACATCTCTCGTCCCTTAACCATTCCCGGGGTTGTGCCTCTCGCACGTCTCTGCATCATCTGTCTCACCTTCAGTTGTACATCATGAGATCTCTCACCTGCTGCGTGGATAATCGTGTGTAGGGTGATACCTAGCTTAGCGTCTATGCTAGCGAATCTTGCTTCGCCCGATGTCTCGAGCAGAAATGGGTCATATGGTGATTTGAAGGCATCCGAGAGCCACTGGATCCAATCTTCTTGTCTTTCGTCGCCCGATGCCGTCACGACTGCCGCTACAACTTGGGATTTCCAAACCTCCAAGTCGTGTATTTTGGGCCATGCAGGGATGTTGATCTTCTCGTGTTCCTTCCGAGATATCTTGGAGCCACCCGAGCTAGAGGATGAAGCGGCACCATGTTCGGTTGCAGCTGCATTCTCAGCGTTCATGCGCTCCTCTTCATACCTCTTCCGGTACTTATTCCTCTCATCTCTGAGTCGTGCTGCATGTGCTTCGAATTCCATCATGTCCTGCTGGTTCTGCATCATACCTTCGTAGTACTCCATCGCCTCTTTCTCCTCGGACCTTAATGACTTTTCGGTGCGTTCAAGTTCCGCTTTAAGCCTGGTCATCATCTCATTCTCCACATTGGATTCTGATCCCATGTCTGGTGGTTTCATCTTCAGTGCGACTTTCAGCTGTGCTTCACTCGCGCTAGATTCGATCAATTCTTCCTGAAGACATTTCAACATCCTCTCTTTACGTAGAATGTCTTCTTCCAACATGTTCATCTTGACCTCAGCTTTCTTGAGTTCGACGTTGGATGGTTGAGACGGTCGGTCGGATCCTTGAGCCCTCGCCTGTGTCAACTCCTCGTTCGCCCTCTTCAATTGCTCTCTGATGGTCATGATGAAATTGTCCTGATTATAAGATCGGTTATTGAGCTCCTCATTCTCTTCTGATAACCATTTGATCTTGCTTGTATACATTGCTTCCTTCATCTTCATCTCCTCGGCATATTCGTGTTTGTTCCTGACACTCTGCCTTTGTAGTCCAACTATCTCCTGCCTGTACAGATCCCTAATGTTCTCCGCATCTGCGACTGCAGTCATGAGCTCCGTCACAGCTCGATCTCTTTCTGCCGATATAGCCTGGATCTCCTCCGTGCCGATGTTCACGACTTGACTAACCATCTCTGCGCTGTTGCGATCAGCGTACTCCCCTAACTGGGTGAGACGATCCCGCATTTCCACACGATCAGTGTCAATCTGGTATTGCAAATCGTGTGCTGCTGAGAGCAAACAGTCTCTGGATTCTGTAAGTTGGGAGATTCTTCGTTGATTTCCATATCCTTCTACATAACATTCTTCGAGGTGTGCCATCACTACTTCGTGGACTTCGGTCTCGTGTTGTATAATCTGGTTCTGTCTCTGCTCACATTCGACCATCCATGCGTTTTGGTGGTTCAACATATGCACTTCGGCAAGTAGTTGTGCACACTTCGCATTGAGGTCTCCATCGGCCCGTGCTAGTTGTAGGTTGTCGGTACTTGCCCTTGCTCCATCTCCAGCTTCGCTGTCCGATGGCACTGGTACAGTTGACCCATCCTCTAAAGCTAGCACTCTCACAGCTCCGGTGTCAGTCCTCCTCCTTGTCTCTCTAGGGCTACGGCCCGATCTCGGTGTCCCCCCCGGTGGTGTCGAGTGCGCTGACGGGGAACGACTTCGTGCTCTACCTGTCGCAATTTCTCTCACCACTGTCAGAGTCTCCGCTTCGATCGTACCTGGACTAGAGTTGTGGGATGCACTCACCCGATCTGCGGCCGCAGCGGCTGCTCCAAAGGATGCAGTGCTGGCGTCGGATTGGTCCATCTTCAGTGACTGAGGGTAACTGATCTATCCGATGCGTGTGCGTTTAGATGGTGTTGTGTAAGGCCGTAGCTCGTACCCAGCTCGAAGGAGTCTGGATACGGCTGATAACCTGCGAACGGATGAAAAGCGTGCCCCTGGCCCCGCTCTAGCCCTTAGTCTAACATGAAGCTCGCGCGCTAAAGCTCCTTTTTACCTGGTTGGGCACTTGAGCCAAAATGGTATGGCAAGTACCTATATAGAAGCTATACTGGGACCTCATCTCTATTGACAAAATATATATTAGATGTATACATAGGAGCTCTTCCCCTTGAATTGCGGCCCAGGTTGCTACAGCTCACTTCAGGAACTGGCTGGACATTCAGCGAGAAGTGGGCAGTGCCTGCCAACACCACCGACGGGAGACTCTTGTCATTTTTTCACCCCTGGCACTGCCTCCTTAATTAAGTAGGCCCCTACTTAACCAAGTAAGGGAGTAAGCTTCTAGTAACTGGACACGGAATAGCTCACGCTAATGAGTTGGTTCCTAGATTCTTAGGGAAATTTACTGTAACTTCAATGCAGCTACAATGGTTTGGGCTTTCTTGCGTAAGACCACTTGCAGTTCATGATCAACTCTATCGCAAGCCTACAGTCAAGAAGGCCCAGCAGCAGACCACAAGCGCGGATGTTGAATCCTGCACATGTCGCAGGTGATGCTGCTCGGCTCATATAGCTTTCGGATGAACTTTAGATAACTTTAGTAGCACTCAGACCGGTGATCACCCTGTGACTTCCAAAACAGGCCCTCTTGCATTTATCATTTATCCCAACCACATGGCTGAGGTGCACTTGTTTCAACCTATTTCAGCCTATTTTACGCTATTGTCCAAGAGAACTTGAAACTCGCAAATCTACCATAATCTGCCCTTGCGCCTTGCGCCCTCAGCGTAAGTATCCGACACATGGGTTTGTCTTTGATGCAAACCGCCGGTCGCCAACACTCCACCCGTGCAGGCCCAGTCCAGCTGGAGACGCTCGGCCAGGTCTCGGGGTTCCAAGAGCTGTGCTGCGAGGCCGCCCAAGCAGCCAGACCAAACGCAACACCACCCGGTGCTCAACCAGGACCTGCCCAGATGCCAAAGGACCGAGTCCGGAATGGCCGACTTGCACAGATGATGGACCTGGGAGACGCATATGTGTGAAAAGCTCAAGGTGAACGAGTGCAAGGCTTCAAGGAAAGCGACGAAAGGCAGCAGCAAAAAAGATGTGACGGAACCCCATGAAAGAACGAAGAACGAGTTCAAGCGAACCAAACGGACGGCAAAGAGTGCATGCGCATGTCGAATTTGGCATGAATACTATGCAGGAGGAAGAAATGCGCCTTCTGGGCAGAAGGATGTCCATCACCTGGTAGCTGCTCAAATGTTGCGTTCATTTCAGTGTGCACTTGCTAAATAATAACACATCTTTGCTCCAAGATCGACACCTGCGGGGAGAAGAGCACGGAGAAGTCCACTGCTTCCTCATCCACGAACCAAGCCACTTTGAGGCCTGGCCACACCAAACAGGATAACACATGTCAAAACTGAGCCCGGAAACGGTCCACAAGCAGAAGCGCTGCACCAGAGTTGATGAGTTAATGCACAGTCGAACGGAGTTCGTCAGATCGCACGGAAAAGCAATGACTTGCACATCAGACTGAGCCTGTGGAAATGAAAATGGTTGAGCGAAAAGCTAGTGTGTGTGTGTGTGCATGTAAACCGCCATCACAAGCGGTAGCTTCAAGACTTCTGCAAGACGTTGGCAGGATCAATTTAGGCAGTCAGTGGAAGAGTTGATAAATTTTCCAGCAGGGGCGTGCAGCATCTGTGATCAACTGCACGCAACGCAGCTATGATCACAGACGGGAAGGGATCAAGGATGCTTGGTCCTGTAGTTGCTCGAGAACACAATGACTCTAATGGTGTTCCCTGCTCAGGCTTCAATTTCAGGTAGGTCAGCTTGCTCTTGTCGATCTCCGTGATGTTCACACAGACTCAGGACTGTGCCGCTTCCATGAATGACTTCTGTAGGTTGTGGACTTAGGAGGTCATCAACTTTACCACCATTCTAACGACCTTCAAAGAAACCCTTCCCAGTGTGTCTATGTGTGTATATATACATATATATATATTAGATACCTGAGAAGGGAGAGGGCGAAAGCCAGCGAGAGACCAATATGGTAGTGCAAGACTGGAAGGAAAAAAAGCGGAGCACTTATTGTTGAATGCCTGTAGCTTTCGTGGAGCTTGTATCAACGTGGAGTAGATCAAGATCGGAGCACAGCATGAAGTGTTGAATGTTTTAGGTTTTCTCGGTTTTCTGGCGCGGTGCTCTCTGGAGCGTCCCTGTTTGGTGGTCTACTTGAGAATCCGTGCCAAAATAAACGTCAGTGAAGACCAGGAGAAGGATGCCCGAAAGGTGGTTTTTGGTTGTTTTGAAATGTGTTTCGGGCATCGTGCATCAATGCGAAGCCCTATAAAGAGCAGGGCTGGGAGAAAAAAATGAATGGTTGTAGTTTTTGTGGAGCTGGTATCACTGCGACGTAGATGAAGATCGGAGCACAGCATGAAGTGTTGAATGTTTTTAGTATTCTTGATTTGCTTGGTGCGGCGCCTTCTGGTGCGTCCCTTGTTGGTGTTCTATTTCACAATCCGTGCTGAAATCAACGTCAGTGAGCACCAGGAGAATGATGTCCGAAATGGTTTTTGTGGTTGTGTTGAAATGTGTTTCGGGTATCGTGCAGCCCTAGGAGGAAAAATAGCAGAGCACCTATAGTTGAAAGCTTGTAGTTTCGTGGAGCTGGTATCACTGCGACTGAGATCAAGACCGAAGCACAGCATGAAGTGTTGAACGCTTGCAGCTTTCTTGCTTCTCCTCTTGCGGCGCTCTTATCCCCAAGCCTCTACCTCGCCCAACTGGACATGCTCACATCGTTCGCTCCCAGAGCGTTCACTCTTTGTTGCTTGGTCCTTCTTGGTATGATCAGAGCTACACAGTCCCTATGCCTTGCTCAGGACTAAAAAGATTGTCTCCAGACCTCTTCATGATGCTAATGATGCACTCCTTGGCGTCCATTGCATCACTCGCATCACCAAACCCCATGTTCACTGCTTTTCTGACCCTCGCTTTGGAGCGCTCTCCCCAACCAAGCTCCGGGTTCAACCTGTCAAATGGTGCCTTTTCGCGCCCTCCCCCGCCCACACCCCTTAACTCACTTCGTTCGCTCTAAGAGCTCAAGCCTAGCCTATCGGCTGGCTTTCGTAATTATATATATATATATATACATGACTGGTTCCTGGTCGCACATGCTTTCTCACAAACATGTTGGCAAATGCCATGCTTCAACACCCAAGATTGGCGATTCCCAAGACTGTCCAACCCAAATTTGTTCGCCGCCAAGGAAGGCTTTTGCCGGGTTCTCGCTGTGAAGGAGACCTCCAAATCCCACTTCGCAAAGGAGCCTGTCGCCTTCTGTCGCAGGGCGCAGGCATGAAAGATCTCCTCACGCAGATCCGCTTGGCGACTTCTGTGGTTCAGAGGATCTGCTTTTTGCTTTGTGGTTTGGTTCCCTGACCTTTTTCTGAACCAAGACCTGGTGGACCACGGCCCCTGAAGCTGGCTTGGAGTATTGACAACTCAAACTCAGTGAAGTCGCCCACCAGTTGGTTTTGAGGTGACAGGCGCTGGGGGACGCGTGAGACGCACCTGACACACCCCTTGGTATTTGTCTTTACACTGAAAACTCAACGTCACCGGTGGGCCCCCAAAAACTTGATTCCGCCGATGAATTTGGACCTCCCGAAACAAGCGGAGACGCGCAGCACTCCAAGCCAGCACTGAAGAGCACGTTGGCTGCGGCTGCCACGCAAAGTCTGCGCGAGCAGGTTGAGTCCAACCCCCCAAAAAATTGCCGAACAAGTTGGGTATGAATTGTTTTTTCTTGCCGGTTGGTTATGAAGTACCAAAACGAAATGGGGATGAGAGACACACGTTTCTCTACCAGTTTTCCTTCATCTGCCTTTATCTCCAAAGGAGCTACCCGGAGTCCGTCAAATGTTCATTGTTGTTTTCTGATCGATTCGTTCCATGGTAGCATGTTCAGCATCCACAGAGAGCCTGTGAGCCTTAGGCATCTTGCTAAACCGAAAGTATGCACGATGGCACCCATTCTCCGTGATGGATGGAGTGCTGGACAGCACTTCTGCCCTCCCAGCCTCAGCCATACAAAAGAGCTTTCTCGAATGAAGGCCACGGTCGTGACCCCCAGTAGCAATGGCAGTAGCCAAACGCAGGCCTTGGTAAGCTTCAAAGGTGAAGGTTGAAGATTGTTTTTGTTCACTGGGTCCACGTTAAGTTCTGTCCCCAACTGGATGTGGCTTCTTGCAAGGTTCCTTCTTCCAGACTTTGCTCTATCGCTTCCTGCTTTTCACATTACCAGGGCACAATACTCAGGACTTTTTGGGTGGCAACAAACACTCATCGTCGAAGGTCGTTCTAAGAAAATAGCTGCGTCGCTCATAACCTTCTCAGAAACTGGAGACTGGCCACTGAAAATACAGCGCTTTGAAAGCTAACCAATCTCCTTTGTCGACGCATTGTCCACAAGGATCCTCCAACACGGCTACCCAAACCACGGACCTGAAAGAGGTAGATCTTCAAGGTCATTCCAGGCAGGATCCTGGAGCAGCTGCGATACATTCCACGCTGCCTACGAAACCACAGCAACCTCCAGCCTACGAAAGCACATCCTCATTGCAATGAGAGACGAATGTTGGGATGTTGCGATGGACATGATGAGGATGGAGAGGAAGTCTTTCGTCCAACTCTCCGCGGAATGCAGAGCGTTTGGCTCTTTGCGGGGTTGTCACTTGTCTCACTCCAGGAGCATACCCAATCTGTGTATTACTCTTGGACAATCTTTGTGCAGGTGTATTCCGGTTTCATTGATTTGGCCCTTGCATCATCTTGCATTTCATCGAAGTGGCACCCCAACTCCACTTTGCGCAATCCCCCGATGATTGAACACCAGTCATTTGCTAGATCACTGGAGTGGCAACGTCACATTAGCACTCAGGATGCTTTGGAATATCAATACATGTCATGTCGGATTCATAGGTTTGCTGTGCATTCCTTTGTACAACTAGTGGCTGGGGTAGACGTAAGAAATCACAGAGGCGTTGCACTGACACCCACTAACCTCCATCATCCCAAACTGCTGTGGCCGCGCAAGTGGCGCGATCGCCCTGTCCTGCCACCCCCCAAAACGGTGCACAGAAAGCGCCGCCAGGCCTGAGCGGCCTGGCGAAAGACCGCGGAAACGGAGTGAAGAGTTCCCGGGAAGGAGGGAGTGTCATCTGGTTTGTGGAAGGTGATCAAAAGTACAACCCAACAAGCAGGATGTTGCCTGAAAACATGTTGACCGCCTCATCCATAATAATATGTATACACATAGCTATATACATTATATATATATACATACATACATATGCCCAGTGACAGGACCTTTTTCCTTTAAGCACAAAATTACACCACCGTAGACCCCAAACAGGTTAGACAACAACGAAGCATTCCCAAGTCCACTTTTTGAGACATCATCAAGAAGGGAGACAAGACGGACAGAATGACAAACAAGAACGGAGACAAGAAGGGAGACAAAAGGAAACAGAGGGAGACAAAACGGACACAATGACCACTAAGAAGGGAGACAAGACCGGAGAAAAAGGGAGACAGAAGGGATACAAGACGGACACAATGAACCCAATGACCAACAAGAAGCGAAACAAGAAGGAAAAAAAAGGGAACAGAAGGGAGACAAGACGGACACAGTGACCAACAAGAAGGAGGACAAGACCGGAGACAAAGGGAGACAAGACGGGAGACAAGGCGGACACAATGACCAACAAGGGGACAAGAAGGGAGACAAAAGGAAACAGAAGGGAGACAAGACGGACACAGTGACCAACAACAATTGGGGACAAGACCGGACACAATGACCAACAAGAAGGGAGATAAAAGATAGCAGAAGGCAGACAAGCAGGACGCAGTCACCACCGAAAAGGGAGACAAGACCGGAAACAAAGAGGGACAAGAAGGGAGACAAGGCGGACACGACGACCAGCAAGAAGGGAGAAAAGAAGGGAGACAAAAAGGGAGACAAAAGATAACAGAAGGGAGACAAGACGGACACAGATACAAGACCGGAGACAAAGAAAGAATGAAGGGAGACAACGGAAAAGGGCGGACACCGGACACCAGCAGTGACAGACCTGGAGACAAATGAATAGAAATGCTACATGGCCAACGGAAATGGGCGGACACCAGCAACGACATAAACAGACCTGCGAGACAAATGAATAGAAATGCTACATGGCCAGCCGAAAGGGCGGACACCTGGGAAACAAATGAATAGAAATGCCGCATGGCCAGCGGAAAAGGGCGGACACCAGCAGTAACAGACCTGGGAGACAAATGAATAGAAATGCTACATAACCAGCGGAAAAGGGCGGACACCAGCAGTGACACAAAGGGCGGACACATCTTAAGAAAGAATTGAGAACCCCTAACAGTGAACTGTTTGGGGAATGACCAGACTGGTGCCCTTCATGACAAGTCCAGCCCAACAGCCAATTCCACCAACTGAGATGCTCAGGAGCGAATCCGCATGCCTTGATGTACAAATGAGTCATGAGTCAAAATGAGTTATGTCAACAAGGCCCTAGGTAAATGCCCACAAGCCAAGTGTGCCAAAGCGTTTATTTAAGAAACAAATGCAATGGCCTTGGCATCACTGATGAGGGGCGCCACGTCCAAAGAAGGCTCCCGCGGAGCGGGCCCCTCCTGAGAAGGTGACATGTCTGCAAATTGCTCAGATCCCACATGAGGAGCACAAGCCGATGACTATGGAAGAACAAAGGACCACCACCATGTAAAAGCATGAACCTTCCTCTTGTCATTCGCTGACGGTAGTTGGTGATGTGTCCACAAACCAACATCCCATCCTGTCTTTTTCGGAGTCCTCCATTGATCCATTGGCAATTCCGGGCCAGCCAATCGCTCGATTTGAAGACCGATGCACCGATCGCTCGATTTGGGGGAACAAACCTTTCAATACCTGCGGGAGTCAAGCGAGGAGAAAGTGGGTAAGATAGGGTTGGTTGAGAGATTCATGGCTGGCTGGTTGGGTGCGTTCCTTTGTTGTGACCATATACTCATCTACTCAATTGTGTGGTGTGGGGCCAAACAAAGCTAGAGTGTTGTTCCAATAGCTCCATTTCAATAACTTCATTTCAGGGAACTTCATTGGGGTTGAGCTGTCCATGTCTCAGCTCAATGTTTTGCACTTTTGCAAGGTGAGACGGCTGAGGATCAGGATCGGGCCGTGCAAAAACCCACGTATCAAAACTGTAGAAGCTCATGAAATAAGGTCAAGCCTGCCAATGCTAAAATATCTTAAAAGCTTGCAAGCTGTTTCACAATTAGCCCAGCTGGAGACCCCAATAGCAAGATACAAACCGGGAAAAAAAAAGAATCTGGAAACAGCTGCTGTTTTCAACACATCGACCATCTCTTCCTTGGACACCATCATCACATAACCGGGACACCATCACAAAATGACCAGGGCACCATCAAAACATGACCGAGACACCGTCACAACATGATTGGGACACCATCACAACATGACCGGGACACCATCACAAGGTGACCGGGACACCAGCATGACATGACGGGGACACCATCACGACATGACCGGGACACTATCACAACATGACCGGGACACCGTCACATGACCCGGACACCATCAAAACATAACCGGCACACCGCCAAAACATGACCAGGACACCATCACAACATGACCGGGACACCATCAAAACATGATCGGGACACCGTCACAACATGAGCGAGACACCATCACAACATGACTGGGACACCGTCACAACATGACTGGGACACAATCACAACATGACCGGGACACCATCACAAGGTGACCGGGACACCAACATGACATGACGGGAAAACCATCACATGACCAGGACACCATCACAACATGACCGGGACACCGTCACATGACCCGGACACCATCAAAACATAACCGGCACACCGCTAAAACATGACCAGGACACCATCACAACAGGACCGGGACACCATCAAAACATGACCGGGACACCGTCACAACACGACCGGGACGCCATCAAAATATGACCGGGACACCATCACAACATGACCGGGACACCATCAAAACATG